TTTGGTAAGTTAGTGTTCTTCTTCCTTTAGTTAAAATATCCTAATTTTACCCCTTATGGGGAATGAACTAAAAATACCCTTTGTTCTTATAAGAAATATATACAAAGTTGCTATACAAAAGTAACTTTTTTTAAAAAATAGACAACAAAATTAATAAACCCACTCTTCCCACATCTCTGTCTATGAACCTTTGTAATTTGAATATCCCATATATATATATATATATATATAAGAAAACAATATGCAATGCCCATCGGCAAAAATAGATAGTGATTCCGCCTATCCCCATCACCGTCCAAAATTCATCGCGTTTTCATGATTTTTTTGTAGTGTTTCATTTTTCAATTTTTTTTTTACAAATCGAAATAACCTAAAATTTGGAATGTGTATTCATCAAAAATAGGGGAATTTTTGAAAAATATAAAAAAAAATATTTTACATGAAAAAATTAGCGTTATTTTGGTCAATTTTTTTTGCGGATAATTTTTTTTTTAATATATTTTTATTAGATACACTCATTAAGATGTATATATCCTCCAAATTTCAGGTCATTTCGATTTATTAAAAAAAAAAAAACAGTGCCGAAAAATCGTGACCGTACGATGAACTTTGGACGGTGATAAGAGTAGACGAAATCACTGTTCATATATATATATATATAATAATTATACTATGAGACCCTTTCACACCCATGTGAGTAGGACACCAAATTGCCACCATTAAATGTTGACACAGATCTCTAGAAAAGTTATCAATAAACCCATTCACCAAAGTCTAGCACCCATGTGATAACTTTCTAGAGATCTGCATCAAAATTTAATGGTGATCCTTTGGGGTCCTACTAACATGGGTGTGGGAGGGTCTCATAGTGTCAATACTTATATATATATATATATATATTAGGGATTTGATAATATAGAGAAAATTATGTACAAACACTATTTCTACCCCTTTCTTACCATATAGGACTATTTTTTGAGAAAGATGTCGCACATAGAATTAGAGTTAGGTGGTGAAGTGCAGATGTACAACTAAACTTTTATGTAATTGTCTCATACTAATGAAGCTGAAGGGCAAGTTCTATAGGATAATTATGAGATTAGTTTTATGCTATGAGACAAAATGTTGGCTGGTCAAAAAACAATATACCAATAGAATGAGTGTAGTATAGATGATGATGTTAAGATGGATGAATGATAAAATAAGAAAGGATAAAATTCGAAATGAATACATTTGAAAAATTTTAGGTGTGACAACAATTGGCGATAAGACTTAGATGAGCTAACAATGTATGGCGCCGACCCAGTACGACACCTATTACGAAGTATGAGTTAGTTCAAGTGGAAGGATACAAAAAGACAAGGGTAGACCCGAAAGGATATGGTTGGAAGTAGTGAGAAAAAATATAAGGGATTATGGCTTCATTGAGGGTATGACCCTTAATATGATAAAATGGTAGACCATACTTCATATGACCCCAACTAATTTGAAAAAAAAGCTTTGACGATGATGATGATCATGACTTGGTTGTGGAGGTTCCATTCCAAAATTTGAAATCCTAAAAAAATTACTAGTATATAGAGTTTTATTCTAGGAAGTAAATGTAGGATATACTCCCCCAATACAGAAATCCTGGGGTTTTTCTCAATACTTATTTCAGTTGATTCTAATATATATAAAAACTGGTTTTGAGCACAATGTTGGTTGAGTGGCTGCTAGAACCCAGTTTCTATAAAGTCTAGTATTTTACATTGTTTGGCACCATAAATATGAAAACTAGGTTTTGGTTGTTTACTATTAATGCAGTTTAGTCGTTGATCCTATAAGTTGATCATTTTGTACTAATACATGGCAAATAGAAAATGTTTTTTGAGAATAAGTTATCAATAATATAAGAAATAAATTACATGGTTCGGATCATATTTTCGGTATTTTATAGGTTAAATTATGATTATTTCTTTCGGTCTCAGTTTCTCTCTACGTACACATCGTGTATCACATCATATCCGTAAAATTGCATCTCATTACATAACAAAAATGTTTACGAAGTTAGATAACAAAAAGTAAAATAAAAATTCCCATAGAAGTCACAAAATACACTTCGCATATGTTCTTATCACTAGAACACAAATGATATTAGTAAAATAATTATTCCAATGTCTACGTTATGCCAATGCCCTCTGCGAAAGCTTGATCCATAAACTGCTGAGGAGGCAAAATAACGCTGAACGAGTTCCCATTAGCTTTGTTAGCCGATGTACATACAATTTGTAAATGTTAGTTGTCCCAGCATTGGGTTTTTTAAAATAAAAATTGCACCTATATTTAAAATTTACCTAAACATACTCATCCCAACCTGGCCCAGTTATTCTCCTAGTACCTTCATCAAAATGGAAACCAAATTTTTGAAGGAGCTCTTTAACATTCCTATACTTATACTTCAAACATTTGACTCTGTTTTTTAGCATATCTATGCAAAATACAGATCTATACTCCTCACACATGAAGCTGCATATTAATTTCCAATCCTTCTCCGCAAATTTGTTGCACCCATTTATACTATGCTCTCGAACAAAGTTTAGTCATGTTTGGGATTCTATATGACATACTTTATTTCTTCACCATTTAGAAGAGTAACATAAACGATAGCCATCGTGGTTTTTAAAACGATATACATGAAACTTGATGAGAGTACGGAAATTTATTAGCATTCGGTATAATGAAAGCATTAATATAGGGAACACACAACTATTTGAAGTAAAAGTTTTCTTGAGAAAAGTATTATAATAGATCAAAGTGCATACACATAGATGCAAAAGTTCATGTAACAATACAATTTATATTATCTCCACATTGCCTTAAGAAGAAAGAAGTGTTGGGTTTATGTAGCCTTTAAAGGCCTTATGAGTGCTTGTAAAATGAAATAATATAGTGGAACATGAATTCAGTGGGAGTGTGATCCCTCGTGGGCCATACTAAGCATACGATGTTTGCAGATACTGGACTGTGGTTGAGAAAAACGTATGTTACC